ACGCCATTACGAATCGTACGATGGCCTAAGATGCACCCGTTCTGTGTCGGCTGCGAATCTCAGTGCAATGGATACTTGGCGCACTACTAGCCTAGTACTACTAGGCCACAGGCCGCAAAGGACAGGCTATCTCTCTGGCAGTGGTTTCACGGCATTGGGTTCAGACCTGATATCCTTTCGACCCAAGAGTCCGCGGTGGCACCTGCTTCCTCATTCTTGATTCTGCGCCGAGCTTCGAACAGCAGACTATCCCTCGCATAATCGATGGAGGTGTCGCGACCGGTGCCAGCCGCGGCGGACGATCGCCAGGCCACTGCGAGCTTTAGTCGCTCCAGCGAATACTCGAATGGGAACTTCAGTGGCCACCTCGACTCTTCTCAGGGCGCGCGTCTGACTGAAGGGAGTGTGAGCTTGGGTGGCCACCGCCAGACGGAGATGAAGATCAAGGCTACAGATTTTGACGACCTGCCGCCTGAGACCACGAAGGATTACAAGGGCCGTATCCGGACGTGGCCTGGGCTCCTCTTACTGCTACTCATCGTCAGTGGCGCGGTGACGGTCATCGTCCTGCAGGCCAAAGAGACGAGCGATATGATCCACGTGAACCAAGATAACTACGAGCAAGAGCAGGCCTATAAACGCAAGATCAAGGACGGCAAAGAGGACGACCAAGTCCTCATCTCGGACGACGGGCAGGTCGGGAACCCCAAGAAATACCCTGACATGGGCTGTGAACTGCCAGACTATCAAAGTAAGAACGGCCAGATCGTGGCTGTCTCCAAGAACGGTACCGAAGTGCCTGTGAGTATCAAAGGTGTCAACTGGTTCGGCATGGAAACCGGTCTCGCCATCCCCTTCGGACTCTGGGAAAACATGGACAACGGTACTTCAGTGTACGAGGTTGCAGCCTTCCTGGCCCGTAATAACTTCAACAGTGTCCGACTACCTTTGTGCGTCAAGAACATCCTCAACGACGTGGCTCCGGAAAAGTCTCTGATCAATTTGAACACGAACCGCGCCGTCAACATCACGTCCTACATCACGACCGTCCAATCGATCGTCGAGGCGCTGGGCTACCGTCACATCACGGTCATGATCAGTCTGCACACTCTGGACACCAAAAAGTCCGGTGGAGCCTGGTTCAGTGACGAGCTGGGGGTCACCGAGGACGAATTCCTGTCTGCTATCGACATTTTGACCAAAAATTTGTGTATTTCCAAATACTGGAACATCCTCGGACTAGATCTCAAGAATGAACCTCATGAATGTTCTTGGGGCGGTGAGGACCCCGACTGGCAGAAAGGAGCCACGTTGATCGGTAACCGCATGCTGGAGGACTGTCCGAACTGGATGGCATTCGTGGAAGGTATTGCCGGATCGGGCAAGATCACTCTTAATGGGGAAAACAGAGTGTACTTCGATTGGTGGGGTGGAGGCATGGAGAACGCCGGGGACTTCCCTATCACCTTCGACGTCGAGAATAAGCTCGTGTGGTCGCCACATTACTACAATACTGGTGTAAGTCCAGCATGGTACCTGTACGCCTCTGGTACACAGGGGGAGGAGGGTGCATTGAACGGCTATGTGGAACTGGACGATGAAACGCTTAGAAACAATGTCGAGAAGAGTATGGATGCGATGTTCGGGTACTTGATTGAGCGCGACCCTAACGTGGCCATGGTCATGGGCGAGTTTGCCGGGTTGTACGCTAAGGATGTTCACCCGATGCTCACCACTAAACGCACAACGGACTTCACTATGGAGGTCATGCTCAAGGCGAAATATGCCGGAGCCTACATGTGGTCATTGAATCCTGAAAGTGCATACCAATTTAATCCAGGCGACACGTACGGCCACTTCACGGAGGGTCTCCTGGAAGACGACTGGCTTACACCTAACAAGGTGTTTGTCGACGGTATCGCGGCCTTGGACGCGATGGAGAATCTTCGAATGTTCCCGTGTTTCCCTCAGGAAGTCGAGGGCTCTGACTCGGAGGAGGAGGAAGAGGAGTAGATGCGGCGTTGGGAACTACCGTGCATTACCAGGCTGAAGTGCTGGCATCCTGTGTGGAGTAGTGTCGACACGAAACGATTCTTCATTTTAGTTGACACAGACGCAGACTGTCAAGTTGCTTTGGTAAAATGAATTCGCGAACTAGACAGCAAATAAGACCTAAACTTGTCCATTACATTAATGATAATTCTGCATACCAAATGTTTTCATTATTTTGTTTTGGGAGTCTTGGTGCGTGATTAAAATAGTGGTGTGCTGTTCTGTGATCGTAACAGCGAGGTACAGTACTGCACCCCGTTTTCGCGCCCTCGGACTTTTGATAAATTTCAGGATGTGATGATCCTATTATCAAATATGCAATTTTTTGTCAGCTAAAATCTGATTATTTGTAAATCCTATATGGTCCACATCCGCGAAAACGGGGTGCAGTACTGTAAGTCGTCTTTCGGTATAATAGGATATAATCAATCGTGCTGCTTTCCATACTTGAAAGATAAATATCTATGCGTGTGAAAACTCTATGATGACAGATTCAAAAGAAAATCAAATCATCAACTTGGATTAATACGTGTATTTGTAAGACCTCTACGACGACGCCTTCTTCTGAGGGAAGCACGGAAACATCTTGAGATCCTTAACATCGTCCAGTGCGGCCATTCCCTCCATGAACACCTTGTTAGGTGTGAGCCAGTCGTCTTCCAGGAGACCCTCCGTGAAATGGCCAAACGTGTCAGCCGGGTTGAACTGGTATGCACTCTCCGGGTTGAGTGACCACATGTAGCCACCTGCGTATCCCGCCTGGATCATCACGTCGATTGTAAAGTCGGTAGTACGTTTGGTCGTTTTCTTCGGGTGCTTGTCCTTAGCGTACAGACCAGCAAATTCTCCCATGACCATCGCCGAGTTGGTATCAACTCCAAGCAAGTAGCCGAACATTTTATCCATAGTTATCTCGACATTCCTTCGCAGGGTGGTGTCGCCCAGCTCCGAGTATGTTTTAAATGCCCCAGACTCATCCTTATCGCCAGTCGATTCATAGAGATACCAGGCAGGGAAGACACCCGTGTTGTAGTAGTGAGGGGCCCACACCAACTTATTCTCTGCAGTTAACTCAACAGGATTCTTCCCTGCGTTTTGAAGACCACCGCCCCACCAGTCATAGTATGTGTCGGTTCTGTCACCAACCGTCACAGTGCCCGAGCCAGCGATCCCTTCGACGAATGCCATCCAATTTGGACAGCCCTTGAGCATGCGGTTGCCAATGAGAGTAGATCCCTTCTGCCAATCCGGAGCCGCACCACCCCACGAACACTCGTGTGGTTCGTTCTTGAGATCAAGTCCGAGGATATTCCAGTATTTGGAAGTGCACAAGTTCTTAGTGAGGATGTCGACGGCCTTCAAAAACTGCTCCTCAGTCACATCGAGTTCGTCACTGTACCACGCACCTCCCGACTTCTTGATGTCCAAGGTGTGGAGACTGATCATAACCGTGATCTTGCGGTATCCGAGAGCTTGGATAATGGTCTGAAGGGTGGTAATGTACGTTGTGATGTTGATCGCACGGTTCGTGTTGACATTGATGAGGGATTTCTGAGGAGCTGTGTTCTTGAGGATGTTCTTAATACAGACAGGCAGACGCACACTGTTGAACTTGTTGCGTGCCAAGAAGGCAGCGACCTCGTATACCGAAGTACCGTTGTCCATGTTTTCCCAGAGTCCGAAAGGGATGGCGAGACCCGTTTCCATGCCGAACCAGTTGACACCTTTGATACCCACGGGCACTTCAGTTCCGTTCTTGGACACAGCAAAGATCTGTCCATTTTTACTCTGGTAATCTGGAAGCTCGCAGCCCATATCGGGGTACTTCTTGGGGTTGCCGACTTGTCCGTCGTCTGAGATGATTACGTCGTCGTCGGTGAGACCGTCATTGATCCTGCGACGTTCTTCCGTTTTATTCTCATAACGAGATTGTCTAGTAGCAGCGCTGTCGTTCTCACTTAAAGCACACGCCGTGATGATAGCAGCCGCTCCACCGACGATCAGAAACAATAGAATGATTCCTCGCCATGTCTGTCACAAGCCACTTCAGTTAGTACTTTCACTACGGTAAGCACTCTTCAAACTGTTAGCGTACCCGGATCCGGCCTTTGTAGTCTTGCACCCGTTCTGGCGTTGACGTGTCACTTGGTTCCAAGGCCATGAGCTTCATTTCAGTCTGACGTAGGCTCATGGTATCTCGACCGGACTCCGAGCCAGGACCTTGGTCGATGTACGTACTGGCTCGGCCACTCGTGTACTCGGAGTTCCGGAACGTATTACTTGGAGGATCTGTGGAATCCGTGGCTGCAGGGGTCGTGCTACTCGATCTCGGCATGGGTCGAACCACGCTAACCTCCATGATGCAGAATTTCTAGCCGTTGGGCGAGGAAAAAGTACTGGCGCTACTTGTGGCAGTTCAAATTCGAGAATGAATCGTTAATTACGTTGGGCGGTCTCATCGCGGAGCAACCCAAGATTGGCCTTGGATTGGACGGTTGCTCGTGATAATTCTGGACGAAGTGGGGTAGTTAGCGTCGCAATGACAAAACGGACGCCGAAGTATTGACAGTCTCAGTTGCGAATAGAGTGCAAGAAGTTACAAAAAATCTCTGGAGACAAAAAATTATACATTTTCTTGGGGATCAAAAAAAGAAAAATAGAGAAACGAAGTTACTCGGAGCCAGCGTCACTCTCCACTTCCACTGGAAAGCACGGGAACATTTTGAGGTCCTTGATGTCGTCCAGAGCAGCCATACCTTCCACAAAGACCTTGTTGGGTGTGAGCCAGTCGTCTTCCAGCAGACCCTCCGTGAACTGGCCGAATGTATCAGCTGGGTTGTACTGATACGCACTCTCCGGATTGAGAGACCACATGTAACCTCCGGCGTAACCTGCCTTGACCATCACCTCGATTGTGAAATCGGATGTACGTTTAGTGGTCTTCATCGGGTGGGCGTCTTTGCCGTATAGTCCAGCGAATTCTCCCATGACCATCGCCGAGTTCGGGTCAGCGGTCATCAAGTAGCCAAACATCTTGTCCATCGTTTTCTCAACGTTGTTACGCAGCGTGTCGTCGTCCAGTTCGACGTAATCTTCACGGGCACCTTCGGCGTTCTGGGTACCGGAAGCGTAGAGATACCAGGCGGGACTCACACCCGTATTGTAGTAGTGAGGAGCCCACACGAGCTTGTTCTCAACGTCAAACGTGACCGGATCGTCTCCAGCATCCGCCAGACCACCGCCCCACCAATCGAAGTACGTGTTCTCTTCCCCATTCAGAGTGATGGTGCCCTTGGACGCGATCCCTTCGACGAATGCCAGCCAATTAGGGCAACCCTCCAGCATACGGTTACCAATAAGAGTCGCTCCCTTCTGCCAATCCGGATCCTTCCCACCCCACGTACACTCGTGCGGCTCGTTCTTGAGATCCAGTCCGAGGATGTTCCAGTAGCGCGATTTGCACAAATTCTTGGTCAAAATGTCGACGGCATCGAGGAAATCGTCCTCGGATACGCCCAGATCTTCACTGAACCAGGCTCCACCGGACTTTTTGGGGTCCAGAGTGTGGAGACTGATCATGACTGTGATGTGACGGTAGCCTAGAGCTTCGACAATCGTCTGGATGGTCGTCACGTACGTCGTGATGTTGATGGCGCGGTTGGTGTTCAAGTTGATCAACGATTTGTCCGGTGCGACGTCTTTGAGAATGTTTTTGATGCACACCGGCAGACGCACGCTGTTGAATTTGTTACGTGCCAGGAAGGCTGCCACTTCGTACACTGAAGTACCGTTGTCCATGTTTTCCCAGAGTCCGAACGGAAGAGCGAGACCGGTTTCCATGCCGAACCAGTTGAGTCCCTTGATCCCCACGGCCACTTCGGTTCCGTTCTTGGCTACAGCGTAGATTTGACCCTTTTTGCTCTGGTAGTCGGGCAATTCACAGCCCATATCGGGGTATTTCTTGGGGTTGCCTACTTGTCCGTCGTCTGAGACGATCACGCTGTCGTCAGCAAGTCCGTCTTTGATCTTACGGCGAGATTGCGACGCGTTCTCGTATCGCTGGGCGTTGATATTCGACTGGTCCTGTACGTCGATGGCGTTGATAGTGATGAGAGCTACAGCGGCGGCCACGATGGCCACAAGCAAGAGTAGACCGGGCCATGTACGGATGCGGCCCTTATAGTCCTGCGTACGCTCGGGCGCTGCGCCAAGGTCGGGCTCGACCGCCAAGAGCTTCATCTCGGTCTGACGCTGGCCGCCGGGGCCGTACATGACGCTCTCACGTCCGCCAGACTCGGTGAGACGCGAGGTTTCCATAGCGTCATGGATGTACTCGCTGTTGCGGAAGGTGGAGCCGGACACAGGCGCGCCGCTCATGGTGCCCACCATGGGGCGGGAGATCTCGGCTGCCTCCTCCATTCTACGCTACGCCGCTCGAGTCGGAAGGTTGTTTGAGAATGATGGGGGGATTGTTGCAGGACGTGTGCGAGATAGGGATTTTGTATTGAGTTGCATGGCAGAGAGGCCAGGTTGCTGTCTTGTTGCCCTAGACCTCGTCCTCAGCGTGACTATGGCCCTTTTGCGCACATTTCGGACAGCAAGGACGAATTTTTCCGCACACTGAACTTGGCATCGGCATTGAGTTGCAAAGATGCCTGTGCTCATGGAGGCATGGCGCTGTCCTAGACGCTACGTGCATCTACGCTATCGGGAAGCGTTGTAAACCATACCCGCGCAAGATGAGGAAAAGAGCCGTTCGGACAGGAAAATCTCGATGTGACGATTTATTAAAAATACTCCGTTTTAAAATCGTAGGAGACTTGGTGCCTCACGTCAGCAGGCATGTCTGGAAGCTCCTCAGCTGCAACAAAATCCACAGAAGGACAATTGACAGGTGAACGAGCAACACTCTGCAATTCGAACTCACGACTTTGATTCTGAACTTTGAAACTGTTGGTGCTTCGAGTGCTAAATAACGTTACGTCACCTTCGCCATTCGAGCAATGGCAACACACCCGAGCCGAACATGACAGGGTAAAATACTTACTTTCGCTTGATTGATCAGAAAGGAAAAAAATATCAAGTAACTGGACGTACCAGGTTCCAACAAAAGCAACAGTTCATGTACATGTCTCTATTGAAGGGTTTCGCTACCTGTTTGTCATGTGCAACCAGCGGGCTCTAGGGCGTTGCACGAGCTTCAGCGCCACTTGCAACAATCTCTTCTTCTGTGCAAGAGTTACCGGTACCCGAAGACGCCGTTGCGCCGTTCGCCTTTGCTGTCACTGCTTTGTTCTGGTCTTTGCTCTTGCTAGACGGAGCTCGCTTACGTTCCTGCTTGGCCTGCTCCACCCGAGCTCGTACAGCCTCCAGAGGAGCGTAACTCGCATCGTCCATCAGTGGCAGCAGAGCACGACGTAGACTGTTGTACATGTCTGGATACAGACTCTCCTCCTGCGCCAGCATCTTCTTGACACGGTGCCGTTCCTTGGGCTCTTCGAAGCAGGCGGGACAGTTCTCATTAATCACGGGAAGACGCGAGTCGTATGCAAATTTCTTGAGCTCAATCTCACGCACATAGGCCAGAGGACGCAGCACTTCCACGTCGCGTTGGTCATTCCAGTACTTGGCCTTCATCGTGCGCAGCTGTCCGTTGTGCATCGCTGACATGAAGAAACTCTCGGCCAGATCATCAAGATGTTGCGCCAGCACCAGCTTGTTGAAGCCATATTTGCGACAGCAAGAGTACAACACGCCACGCTTCATACGCGAACAGTAGCTGCACAACGAGTCTCCGTTCAGCTCGCACGTCGCGCGCTCAATGATATTCTCCGACAGGTAGTGATACTCGACCCCCAGAGCGCGCATGTATTCCTTTAGAGGACTCGGGTCGAACGACGGCGTCTGGGGGTCCACCGTGGCGCAGGCGAGTTCGAAGCGGACGGGCGCGCGTTTCTGGAAACGCAGTAGCACATGCAGCAGACTCAACGAGTCCTTGCCGCCGGACACACCCAGCAGCAGCCGATCGCCTTCTTGGATCATATCCCACTGCATCAGCGCCTGCCCCACCCAGCGCAACAGTTTCTTTGGTGGCGTAGGGAACAGCTTGGTCTTGGTCGTTTTCTCAGTGATAGCACTCGTCGTCTCCTGTACACTTGATGCCGTCGTGGTAGTCAAGCACGTCGGAGGTGTACGCACCCCACAAAGAGCAGCAGTGTTGCAGCTGCTAGAAGCTGATGTCTCAACGACATCGGTGCCATTCGTTGAGCGGAGCGGGTATTTGCCTCCAGTCTCGCGAGCATTCGTCTGCGTGTCGTTGCTACCTGGAACGGGGCAGCACGTCGTGAGTCCACATACAGGAGCAGCGCTAGACGTCGTCACGTCCTTCCACTGATCTTTCAGTTCACCCGTGAGATACCGTGCAGGCTGGTACGGACCACGGATAACTTCCGTCATGGCAGGCTTCTCCCCCTTCTTCAAAGCTTCCACAGCCTCCGAAGGGTAGACGAACCATCGCAGAGCTTCATCATCCGTCTGCTCTAACATCTGCGCCGCCGACGCCGCCACTACCTGAGAAGGAGCAGTCTTTGCAGTCACGTCACCCGCGAGTCGACGTGCTTCGGCCAAGTTCTCAGCTCGATGCGTAGCGAGCGTTTCCTCGTCGTGCGCGAGACTCGTCGACCGAGTCTTGTCCTCCAACGCCGTGGCGAAGTGCGAGATCCACTTGCGGTCCGGGAACTTGGTGAAGCATGTCCAGTGCTTCCACACGCCGCTCTTGTGGTTAAACTTGTACTGCGGTAGGAACTTCCAGCCGTCGGTAGCCACAAAGTTCACCGCGGCCAGCACGTACTCGAGTTCTCCTGCGCTCATAAAGTACGGGAAGCTCATACGCGTAAATCCAGGACGCAGCATCTCCTTCTTGTCTATCAGAGCATTTTCCAAAGCCAGTACATCGCGACGTGCCAGACCCAGCAGTCGAGTGGCGTAGGGCCCAGCACATTGACAGCCGCCGCGCGTCTGGATTCCAAAGAGGTCGTTCAGTAATGCACAGACGAAGTTGTAGTGCAGGAAGCGGTCACCGAAGCGCACGAGGAACGAGAATACGGGGATCTGCTCCACGTCGCTGTCTTGACGTCCGAGCAACACGATGTTCGTGTTCTTCTGCAGAGATTCACGTACACGCCGCACATTGCGTCGCTCTAGCGTCATAATGTTCTTCGCTCCGACACGCTGTTTGAGTTCAATTGCAAGACCCAGACGGATACTGCCTAGAATATCCGGCGTGCCGCCTTCTTCACGCTCTGCCCGGTTTGACAGATAGCGGTGGTCATTCTCCGTGACGAAGAACACTGTGCCACCGCCTGGAGTTGTCGGCACGGCGTTCGTAAGCAGACGCTTCTTGACAATCAGCACGCCAGGAGATCCCGGACCGCCGATGAACTTGTGGCCAGAGATGAACACGGCGTCCTTGTAGACGAACGGCCGGCGCGTCTCGTCCGTCACGACCGGGTTCATGTCAATGTTGACGTATGGCGCGCACGTCGCGTAGTCCCAGCAGGCTAGAGCCCCATGCTGGTGCAAGAGTGCAGACACGGCGTCCACGTCTGTTATTACGCCCGTCAAGTTGGATGCGGCCGAGAAAGCTCCGATCTTGAGCGGACGTGCTGCGTACGTCTGCAACTGCGTCTCTAGAGCCTCCAGGTCCATCTGTCCGTGCTCATTCTCCGGGATCGTCACGATCTCGGCCGCACTCTCACGCCACGGCAGCAGATTCGAGTGGTGTTCGAAGGGACCGACAAAGACGACGGGTCTTTGATCCGGGGCGACATTGACACTGAATTGCTGCAGACCCAGAGCCTGCACGAGCTTATTGACGGCGCTGGTGCTGCCTTGGCCTGTGAAGAGCACGCAGTCTTCGGCGCCACGGCCTGTGATCTTGGCGTTGACGGCCTGCGCTACGATCTGCCGCGCTTCGTGACGGAAGCATGTGGTCTGAAGGCCTGTGATGGACGTGGTGGTATGCGTGTTGCCGTACAGAGGCATGACTTCTCGATTCAAGTAGTCCTCGACGCATTGCAGCGGCTTGCTACTGGCCGTATAGTCGGCGTAACACAAGGCGCGGGATCCGAACGGAGACTCGAACAGTGTCTGACGGCCCACAACGTTGCTCGTAATGAGGTCTACGGTTTGTTGCGCAGCGGCGGAGAGTGGCTGATCAGGAGAAGACTCAAGCGGCGTCTGCTCTAGGATCTGGGACGTTAGGTCTTCCTCCAGCTCCTCGCAAAAGAAGCGACTCGAAGCGGCTTCGTCCGGCAGCGTCATGGTGATCGATGAATGGAGAGGAAGAGATGGCTACTGTAAAAATTGATTACGCCATCATGGCTACGTCTCAAGTTTTTATAGCAAAAATCAACTTAAATGTATTCTTACGATAATACTGGTTTTGTCAATTCCGGCCAAATTTTGGCAAAATCTGTAGGTGAACTTTGTGAGCTCAAAGTTTATTTTGTTTTAGCATTCGCTCACTTTTCATGTTCACTTTTCAAGTGACAGCGCACATTCTGGGCTAAGAGAGCGATTTGCTTTGCAAGATTGGTGCACTGTACCAAAAAAGATGACTTGTCCTCAGAACACGGTATGCCGGACACCCCAAGTCGCCAACACAAGCATGGGCCTTTGACTCTAAGGTGACTTGCATTCGAACCAAGATTGGTGATCTCATCAGCTATTATCGACTAGATACTACCCAACTGTTATAAGTCGATCTAAGGAGGTCATCAAGGTATCGTCAGAACGTATCACAGAGTCAAGGGCGACTATTCCTGGATCGGTCTTTACGCCGATGGGGTGATACATGTTAGGGCCTACGAAGACTGCAGTACTAGTAAGAGCAAGCCACAACTGAGAGGTTACTCGCCTAGAAATGTGGTGTCAGACCGTCCATTCCAGGCCGTGTTAATGGATTTCGAGATTCCCCAACCTCGAACTCAGCGGGACAATACTGCGTTGCTGCTGTTCCAGGGCCACTTCACGCAGTTCGGTATTGCTAAAGCTATGAACGACACCGGGGCACTCGAAGTGGCCAAGGTGTTTGAAGAATGCGTCTTCATGCGGTTCGGAGCTCCGTCGCTGATACGACATGACCAAATCCAAGGTTCATGAGGGAAGTCTTCCAAGAAGAGGCAGTCTAGATCAAGGACTACGCTGAGTTGCCGACCACAAGCCAGCGGTCAGCAAGAAAGGTCAGTGAAGACGATGGTTCAGACAATACGAGGGCGAATTGTGGAGGCGCTTGCTCAGCCAAGTCGAAGTGGCATCATCAATAACCTGGGGACCATAGCGCGCGGAGCGAAAACCAAGAAGTCCACGTTCCGAGCACGGAAACACGTATTGTACGGGTGAACAGCTGGGTCCGTCAG